TTACCTATGATAAAAAGGCACTTGGAAAAATTCAAATACTGACATAATATCTCACAGATGTGCAAAAAACATAACTTGGAACAAACAGGCCTTGCGTGGCCTTAGTTTTAACATTAACCCTTTGTGCAACACTGTGGCACTTCTGTCAATGGCACCCCTTTACAATGACACCGACCAGGCTAACTAACAATTTCTGTGCCCTTGATTTCAGTTCCATTTTCATAGCATTAAGCAAGGGTTACTTTAAAATGTCGAGGAGCACGTACCGCTTTATAAAAGACTTAAAATTCAACAACTGAGGAGTCTTACAATTATTCTTGGTTCTCAAATCGACTGATGAATAACGCTCTGCAACGAGAAGGGATGCGGCAGCGTCCCCGTATCTACGCACATTACGAGGGGTGCAAAAGTGCAGTTTGTTACAGACTGAGCTCAAAGGGTTAATGGATCATACAGCTTATTTAATATGGAAAAGTTGTGGACCCCGGAAGGATCCGTGTCGTTATAATTCAGCGTTCTGCCGCCGTGCTGAGTCCCTGTGCCTGGTTTCCACCAGCAGAGGAGAAGCAGACAAACGGAGGAGGAGGAGGAGGAGGAGAGCCTCATCTGTGGGTTTCACTGTTGCCACGGAAACCATGTCTAGCCTACTTAACACCTGTTTTTGATGACATCACATGCCAGGATTGTCCACTCACAACGAGAGATTCACTTCAATACCCAGACTGAACCCAGAGACAGGCCGCTGAGGTGTGTGTGGGGGGGGGTGCATCTGAGATAATGATGACTAAGAATTACTGAGGCAGAAGCTCAGGTATGCAGTTCATCTCTGTGGTGAATACTCGTCGACCTGTGGGCAGCTGGATACAGAGCTCATCCTCAGGCGGGGAGGAGGAATATATTTGCTTTTGTTTACTGTGAATGCAGCTTGTTAGTTTGCCTGGAATGCATCTCTGGAAAAAGAAAAAAACGTTTGTGGCCGGGAGGTGGGGGAGCTGAGCCTTTCGGGTTTAATCTATAAAAAAAGAAAACACCCAGAGGGCAGACAGAGTTCAGTGGCCTAGTTTTTGCAGGCTGGTATGCCTGTGAGTGGCTGCCACATTGGACACAGCACAGCCAGTGACTTCAGAGCCGAGAGGGCCGTTTGCTGGGTAGGTGGCCAGATGGAGGGCGGCTGCTCAGCGCAACTCTCCTCTGCCTCTTTTCCTCTGCTGGCACAGAGCCTCTCCCTCCCCTCATCTCTCCCCATCCCCTGTCCATTCATTTATTCATTCAGCCAATCCTTTCTCTCTTTGCTCACAGCTCTCTCACAGCGACGCCCGCCATTTCACAGACGCATGGCATTCACTCTGCGTGTGACTGTGGAAATTAAAAGTCAGGACAAGAGTTTGGTGTCTGGACACTTAATAGAGAAATATTTGATGCCCATGTCCCATCTGGGATAGAATCATCATGATTGTCATGGAGGAGTTTGAGGTCATTAGGTTCACTGTGTTTACCTCCCTAGAATGATGATTTCCATCCTTTTCCAGCTTGTGACCCTTTAATCCAAAACAGTATAATCTGAAAGTGTGACCCAGTTCATGGCCTAAATTTACACATATTGTTGACATACTGTGATTTGATTTGATTGATAATTTAAGGATTTTACAAATGGGTATCGATAACTTAATTCAGTATTTCACTAAAAAGATGTAACAGAGAAAACTGAATGTTTCTACGAGCCCCCAGGTTGGGAAGCACTGCCCTGGAAGACCACCTGAACCTCTCCCTCTCTTCTTCTCTTCACCCCCTAAAATGACTCGCCCTCGGCAGCAGATTGCAGAGCAGCCGTCGCAGAACACAATAAGCAACTTCAACATCAGAAAAATGTTTCGTCTGAACAACAGCAAAATCAAAAAATTATGACAAAAATACAAAACAGCATTAACTAGTGTCTAATGATGGAAAAGTAAGACCGCCGACATCTGGGGAGAGGAGAGATGGAGTGAAAACGGAGAGGAGAAGTGAGTGATTCAGTCTCTTGAGGGAATGTTCCTTGTGTTGATCCTCTCCTGCTCCCCTTACCTCTCCTCTGTGGAGACAACAGTCAACACTGTACATGCATCAGCACTGAGCGACAACAAGCCTGGAGGATCCCCACAGCAAAACTGACCCATGCAGAAAAATAAAAACAAGAGCAAACTAGCTTTGAAAGAACCATGACTTTGCAGTCACACTTCTTAAAACATGTGGGGAATATAGTTTGTGGTAAGTGTTGCCTGCTTAATCGAACCGAGAGAAACGTTTTCTCAGAAGTCAAATTAGTCTTTTTTTGGACAGAGTAAAATGAGGCAGTTTGCAATAGTGTGGCTTCCCAGTCAGTCCAGCTGTTTGTGGCATTGAGTGCATCACACCCCCCTCTGTGGCACAATATGCACATCCCACTTTACCCTCTCCTGGTATTTTTGGCACAGTGTGAGAGTTGTTGAACTTGGGACAAAACCTCTGCCGTCAAGGCTAAGTTGGACTTGGATTTGGACGACTGCCTGCTTTTCACAGCTGGTTTTGGGTCGGGTCACTTTTTGAAAAACACAAGACACTAGTGTCTATCACCACAGTGGCCCTTTCATGCGCAGACTGGCTGTGTCGACTGAATTACGGGAAAGCATCTGGACAATCCAGGAGCAAAACAGGTTCTGTAAACGGTGAGCAGGATGTGTATCGTGGTCAACCAGAGGGGGGAGCCAGATGCACCAGCACTTGAATTTGTGTAAAAAGAGGAATTGGTGATTGCCAGGTGATGTAACACCATTTGTCTGTGTTAAGTCCTCAGATCGCTCTGTGTCCTAAAAGTAAAAGCCCCTAGTCGACCTGCCTGGCACAGACTCTGGTGGACTAGGCTGGTCCATGTCGGTCACCCTCCCCGAGCTGGGGACAGATTGTCAAAAAGTGCTCTCCCCCAGTTTATGTTACACCGGGGGAGGCTGAGAAGTTAGCAGCAGTTTTGAGGTTTCAATACTATAACCAGCTGACGCTATTAAGTGCTTTGTTGAAACGAACTGTCTCGGAGCTGAAGCGGTAGCCGTCTCCTGCGCGAATTCCAAAACAGTTTTGAGTTCACTTGCTTTGGCGTGGCAAGCTTGTCTGAATCGTATTAATCACAGCGGCCTGTGAAAAATAGGTCATAACTTTAAAAAATCATCTTCCTTTTATGTGAAACTTTGCCCAACTGTGAGTGCGTCATTCAGTTTCATGGTGTATCTATTCCACTGCTAAGCTGGAGGCACACTGTCACTGAAGTACAGTCATATAAATACTTAAGAATGTATCAGGGCTTTTGTAAGAACACAGAGCACTAAGACACTAAGCACTAAGTTCATGGTCCCTGTCGTCAGAACCAGCAAACAGGAATGAATAGAGTATAAAACAAGCAACAAGGAGCCAAACCATACATATTCCTGAAAAGAGTTCTTGGGCCCCTTGGTTTCCCAACAATAAAAGAGGCTTGCGTTGTATTGGTGATTCTTGTGAGGTGTAGTGTTATCTATTGTTTTCTTGATTGAAGTTTTGATAGGTTTCTCAATATTTTTGTCCGTTTCCACACACGCTCTGAAATGCATTGCCTGGATTTGATTGTGCGAGTCAATCCCTATCCCCATTGACCGCCCGTACCCTCATAATGGCTTTCACCCTCCCATCCCAACCCCCTGAGCTCTTCTGGAATGTGTGTGTGTGTGTGTGTGTGTGTGTGTGTGTGTGTGTGTGTGTGTGTGTGTGTCAGTTGACCACAGCTGGCTTGAGCACCACGGTGCCTGGAGGGATGACCACCCAGGACAGCGGATCATGAGACCCTCCTGTGGAGAGGTTCAGGACGCCTCCAGTCACCACGTTGTCAGCCTCCTCCCCCTGGTTCTTCTTGACCTGACTCTGGGCCCTCCGCTCAGACGCAGGCCCTAGCATGGGCACCATTGGCAGGCCCAGGGCCGAAGAGGAGAATGCCGTGGAGAGCAGGGGGGACTTGGCCAATCCCAGCGGTGAGCCATTGAAGGACAGGATGGACGTGCCTCCAAGGCTGCCTGGAGGCGAGTTGGGGCAACCCAGCGAGCTGAGGTCCAGGGGACGAGGACTGAGGGGAGACAGGGGCACTGCGCCACTCAGGCCCTGCAGAGCGTGGCCTCCCAGAAGAGCAGCCGCCGCCCCTGGGATGATGATGTGGGCTCCGCTAACGTAGGACAGCTCTGAATCCTTACCCCCTCCAACCCCAAGCCCTCCACTGTGACTACCCTTCAGCAGGGAGCCCACCCCACCCGGGGAGCCCTGCTCCTGAGCCACAAAGTGACCGTGGGCTTTGATGTGCTTGCGGAGAGAGCTGGGGTCTGTGTAGCGCTTCAGGCAGCCCACCATCTTGCAGTAGTAAGGCTTGTCCACGTAGTGTGTGCGCGTGTGTTTGAAGCGATCGCTGGAGTTGGAGTAACGCTTGTTGCAACCCTCATAAGGACAAATGTAGGGCTTTTCACCTGCAGGGGGGGGAAAAGATTCAAATGTTTTGTTCTGAAAGAATACAGAATACATTCAGCATCTAATCTCATATCAAATGATCATTATACCCAACTCCATATTGATTTAGATCCTTACTTTTAAAGCTATGCATTGTAGATTTTTGGAATTGTGCCCTGCCTACACTGACCTGTGTGTGAGCGATTGTGTATCTTGAGGTTCTCCAGACGTGAGAAGCTCTTGTTGCAGGTGGGACAGCGGTGGGGTTTCTCATTGGTGTGAGTGCGGATGTGGATGAGCATCTTGTACCTGCAACCACACAAAAATAAGTTCATCATATCAACTACCCCTTGAATCCTCCCCTCAATGGTGCATTTTCCCAGTTGGAGGATTTTCCTCACCTGGCATTGAACCCCCTGCCCTTGCGAGCACAGCCCTCCCAGTGGCAGCAGTACCCAGAATCCTTCTCAGGCTTGACATGGAAGTCATTGACATGGTCCACCAGGTCTTGTAGGGAGTCAAAGAGCAGATGGCACTAGAGGGCGGGAAATCATTCAGCATTTCAAATTATTAGTAATGATTGAGATATTTGAATCCAATCTTAGTTTGGCTTCGCTTTACTCCTATTTACCTTCCTCCAATGGCAGGCCAGTTGTTCATCCGCTGACAGGTCAGGAGATGCTCGCTTGTCACTCGTCTGGCCAATGAACATGGAAGACGGCAGGTGAAGTCCTGCCCCGGCTCCGATTGGCACGAAAAACTGAAAGGCCTGTGAGATGTGAGAATTCTGATAAACGAAAAGAAAAGGGAATATGGGGATCATCGGTCTGCACCATTAAGAGAGAAGCAGACACTTGAACTTTACTTTAGTTCATGATTCAGATCCAGCGCTCATGTTTTATTTATTGCAACATAAGTTTCATCAATAGCAATATAACAAAAATCCAATATATCGATATATTGCTTGTACATTGTGTAAGTACAGTGAGTAGGTATATTGATAGGATAGGTTGCATATAAAGATGGAGGACAGGACTGCATGTTTCAGTCAAAGTGTCTTGATCCCTGGCTGCCTGCCTCCTCCATGTTAGTGGATGGGACACGGACCAAACTAACTGTAAATTTAGGTTGTTCATAATATCACACTGATGTTTGTTCTGATGTTCAAATGGTCACTCAGGAACAAAATCAGTCTTTTATAGAAATAAAGATGTGACATTTATCATGATAAATATCCATATCAGCCGACCTTGAATTTTTATTGATACAGTTTAATTTATTATTGATATCATTTCATTTTCATTTATATAATATATAATATGATATACAGCCCTCATAGTGCTTCTGTAGCTGGCAGTGAAATCACTTAACAAATTACATACTTGAGAATACTCATGAGTTCACAGATTTTACACAAAGCAGGAGGGAGGACGGCAGAGAGGTCCTGATAACTTCACTTGACAAATGCTTGATAGTGAAGACAAAACTCTCTTTCTGTCAATGGAATACAGAACTGCTGATCTCCATCTTCACAAAACAACTCTGGTTTCTCTCTTGGCATCCCCCACTCCGTACTACAGAACCTCCCCACGTCCCGGTGCTCAGCGTGAGAGCTGTAAGATTCACTGAACCTCAGCTGGGACTCAGACACACACAAGCTCGAGCAGAAAAAACAGAGGAGCCTGGATGAAATGTTGAATTAAGAATAAGGGACATTTAAGTCCAAGCTGTCATGTGAGAGCAGGGAAGCACAGAGAGAGAAAAAGGGTGCAAATGGATCACAATACAGCAGCTGTCTCATCGTCTGCAGCTATGTCAGAAATGTGTATGTGACAAATTTCATGAAATAAGGCCAATTCCATGCACTGAGTTTTGCCTCTGCATGCAAAACTGTGTGAGCTGCTTTGTGAGATGCTATAGGGGTGAGAACATGTGAGTGTGTGCAGCTGTTCCTCTATGAGAAGCTCTTATTTGTTTTGTGTGTGAGAGAGAAGAGTGTCCTATTTGCGTCAATGAGGGATAAATAAAGTGTAGAGTGTGTGTTGCAGTGAGGTCGGGGGGCTATCTAGAACTCAATGGGACGCCGGATGGCTTAATGGTCCCAGCCTGTCTCAATTCAATTGGAGGGGAATTGAATTAGGCGGCGTGAGGTCTGCATGGCTGTACCTTGTCTTAAATCTGATTATGCATGTACACACACACACACACACACACACACACACACAC